TATATATATATATATATATATATATATATGTATATACAGCAGTACAACAGTTTGCTAGGTTTATAATCGGGAGCTCGGCATCCTCTTAATTAGTCGTGAATTGGTTCGCCGAGACCCACTGTCTCGACATGCAGTTTTCTAAAATCCCCTTCGAAATATGGCCTCACCCTTTGGCCGTTCACAAAAAATAATTCGCCATTCGCTGAATTTCGAAGCCGGACAGCTCCAAATGATAACACTTCATCAATGATGTACGGCCCGCTCCACCGAGACTTGAGCTTTCTTGGGAATAGACGAAGTCGGGAAATGAATAAGAGAACCTTCATGCTAGGCACTAGATTTTTCCAGACAAGAGTAGCATCATGAAGCTTTTTTACCTTGTCATTGTACATCTTCGAGTTCTCGTAGGCCTCGTTTCTCCACTCCTCAAGTTTGGAGAGTTGCGACATCCGCTCTCGCCCGGCGGCATCAAGATCAAAATTCATCTTTTTAATCGCTCAAAAGGCCTTGTGCTCGATCTCAACCGGGAGGTGGCACGCCTTTCCGTAGACGAGCCGAAACGGGCTCATCCCAAAAATTCCCTTGTATGCTTTCCTTTGGGCCCATAGTTCGTCATCAAGAAGACTGTACCAAACCTTCCTGGACGAGTTTACCATCTTCTCAAGAATGGTTTTGATCTGCTTGTTGCTCGTATCTGCTTGGCCCGAGGTCTGTGGATGGTATGGGGTGGCCACCTTATGTGAAATGTCGTACTTCTTCATCAGCTTGTCAAATATTCGGTTGCAAAAATGCTTGCCTCCGTCACTCACAATGACCCGTGGAAATCCAAACCTGCTCAACACATGACCCGGCAAAAACTTGATGACCACTTTAGTATCACATGTCCTTGTGGGGATAGCCTCAACCCACTTGGACACGTAATCTACGGCAAGAAGAATCTACCCAAAGCCAAAAGATTTGGGAAACGGTCTCATGAGATCAATGCCCCACACGTCAAAAATTTCCACCTGAAGATTGTTTACGAGGGGCATCTTGTTTCTTGGGACAATATTCCCAATTCTTTGACAACGGTCACAAGATTTGCAAAAATTATAAGCATCTTTAAAGAGGGTCGGCCAGAATAAACCTGATTGGAGAACCTTAAAGGCGGTCTTTCGACTTCCAAAATGTCCTCCACAATGAAGCTCGTGGCAAAAAGCGAGAACATCCACTTGTTCTTCTTCGGGCACACACCTCCGATGGATTTCATCTTTCCCCACCTTGAAAAGGAATGGGTCATCCCAGAAATAACTCATGCACATCACAACAAATCATTTCCTCTCTTGGGAAGAAAGGTTAGAAAACAATACTCCATCCGACAAATAATTCACAATATCCGCTTACCAAGGAACACTAGTTACATCACTCGCATGCTCATATGGAAATTTATCATTAATATCAACATGCTCATGCAAAATGGGTGAATGATCAGAAGGAACAATGCGAGACAAGTGATCAGCAACAACATTTTCACAACCTTTCCTATCACGAATTTCTACATCAAACTCTTGCAAAAGTAAAATCTACCGAATGAGTCTAGGTTTCGACTGAGTTTTACTCAAGAGATACATAAGAGCCGCATGGTCAGAATAAACAATCACTTTAGATTTAAAAATGTAAGATCTAAACTTTTCAAGAGAAAAAATTACGGCTAAAAGCTCTTTCTCGGTGGTAGTATAGTTCAATTGGGCACCGTTTAAGGTCAAACTAGCATAATAAATTACAAGAAGTAACTTATCAACTCGTTGGGCCAAGAAGGCTCCAACAGCAAGGTTCGATGCATCACACATAATCTCAAAAGGAAAAGACCAATCAGGAGCAATAACAATAGGAGCAGTCACAAGCTTATTCTTCAATCTATCAAAAGCATCTACACATGCATCATTAAACACGAATGGCACACCATTAGCAAGCAAGTGACATAAAGGTTGGCTAATTTTTGAAAAATCTTTTATAAACCTCCTATAGAAACCAGCATGACCTAGAAAACTCCTCACCCTTTCACATTCACAGGCGCGGGAAGTTTTTCAATCACATCAACCTTTGCTCTATCAACCTCAATTCCCCGACTAAACACGACATGGCCTAACACGACTCCACTTGTCACCATAAAGTGACTTTTCTCCCAACTCAATGTCAAGTTAGACTCAGTACACCTCTCAAGGACACGAGATAAATTATAGAGACAGTCAGAAAATGAAGTACCAAAGATTGAGAAATCGTCCATAAATACCTGTAAGCAATCCTCGAGCATATCTAAGAAGATTGAGAACATGCACCTTTGAAAGGTCCCTGGTGCATTACAAAGTCCGAAGGGCATCCGTCTAAAAGCAAAAGTGCCGAATGGGCACGTGAAGGTGGTCTTCGGTTGGTCCTCGGCTGCTATGGCTACTTGGTAGTAGCCGAAAAGTCCATCTAGGAAACAATAGAACTGGTGGCCCGAGAGACGGTCGAGAATCTGGTCAATGAACAGCAACGGGAAATGGTCTTTCTTTGTCACGGCATTGAGTCGCCAGTAATCAATACACATTCGTCACCCGGTAGTTATGCGAGTGAGGACCAACTTCTTCTTATCATTCTCGATCACAGAGATCCATCCCTTCTTTGTAACTACGTGAATGGGGCTGACCCACTCGCCCTCTGCCACTGGATAAATGAGTCTCTCAGAATAGAGCTTCAATACCTTTTTCTTTACCACCTCCATCATGTTCGGGTTCAACCGCCATTGGCTATCCCGAAATGGTTTAGCTCCCTCCTCCAGAATGATCTGGTGCATGCACGTGGAAGGGCTGATGCCCTTTATGTCTCCGAGGCTTCAGCAAATAGCCTTCTGATTCTTCCTGAGTACATCCATTAGCTCCTTCCCTTCA